CATAGCCTTAGATGGAAGAGACAGAAGAGAGGGGAATCAGATATTCTGGGCAAGACTCCCTCTTACATTCTGCTACCTAGTTAGGAAACAGAATCGCTATAAAGTGTAGATATGCTCTCTGGAGCGGGAAATGGGATCATGAGGAAGAAACAGGCAGGATTATGCTCTGCCAGATGTCATGAAAATTACTAAAGGCTAGTGGAGTTTAAATGTTAAAATAATCTTTACAAAATTCTCTTCTAATTTTAAAAGGATCAACCTGACATAGCGATGAGACAATTGAGTAGCCCTGCAGAAGTTGTGGGTTCAGATATAATATTAGATTTGTGTTCTTGCCTGCCGATCTTCACTGGCCCCCAAATTTCTGCCTTCATTGAAATCAGTTGGGTTAGATGGATGTAACTGAGGGCACAGTTTTTCTGAACACCATGGTACCTGAGGAGAGTGTTTAAACTGCTCTGCTCTTCTAGTATCACCATTCAGATATGTATAGAGCAGTCTAGATAATGGCCAGGGTTCATCCATATTACTGTTCCTTCCAGCTTGAAGAAAAAATACTAAAAAGGAAGGATAGGATGTGACTTAATAGTTTCACTGCTGCCTCAATGTAGTTGATATGTGATGGTCCATGTAACTTGCACAACACTTTGAAATGCATATATTCCAATATAACATTACAAAGGAAGATCAATGCATTCCTGTGCAGCACAGAAGCATCAGTGTGGATCAGTTGTCAAGACTAGGGTGACCAGACAGCAAGTGTGAAAAATCGGGACGGGGGTGGGGAGTAATAGGAGCCTATATAAGAAAAAGACCCCAAAATTGGGAGTGTCCTTATAAAATCGGGACATCTGGTCATCCTAGTCAAGACATTAAAATGGGAAAGTTCTTCCAGATAAAGAGATAACAGAACTCTCTTTTATACAAAGTACAAGATTAATTTTGAAATGGACAGATCATTTAATCAACTGGGGGGGGGGGGGGCGCGAGTGAGAGGAGGGTGGAATGTATATCCATTTATGTTATTGTAATAATGATTTATACTCATTTGGCACTAGATTCTGCTCTCAATTAGAACAGTGGAAAACTGGAATATCTCCACTAATTTCAGTGCTGTTGTAAAAAATTTCATTCTGGTAAAGGGAGAAACTTCAAAATGTACAGCAAATAACATTTTCAATTCATACAAGTCACTTTTATCCAGTGAGAGTCAGTAGTTAACAAATCCAGAAATATGAAAGCAGTATGGTCCAGCATTGGAAAGAAGGCATCAGAAAGAACTACAGTTCAATGCAAAAATAACATAGATAGGTAGGCACTCTGAAATTCACAGTTGTGATTTCAAGATGGCTGTGTTACAGGAAATAAAGTTGTAACATTAAAACCTTTTCAGTCAATCATCCATCATATAGTTAGCTTAAGCTAACTAACTTGCACATACTACAGCGCTGTACATATTGACTTGGATTTTTCTAAACATTAAGAGACAAATGATATTTTATGGCTATGACATAACATCACTCTGACAACATGCAGCTATAAAATTGACATTTCCCCCCCCAAAATGGCAGTGGAATTTTTCTTTTGATTTATCTGTTGGAGCACTGCATAACACGGATGGGTGCAGTTTGGTCTCAATGGAACAAATATTATCTTCCCAGTCTATGTAGAATACAAGCTAGGTAATTTTTGTTATGGTATATAACTTCGTGAAGGAAGAGAGGAGACTTATGAATGGCCTAGTCACAATTAAGTTATCCTGATTCTTTTACAAATGAAGTTAAATATTCAAAAAGAATCAGGTACCATTAAGCTTAGAAGAATTGTTTAATATTCTTCTGCTTCTTTGAGGCATGGTATAGTGAAGAAGTAGGTTTTACTGTATGGCCTGGAGATATAGAGGGAAAGACTTTTCTCAGTATCCTTTAGGAGGATATTCCAGAGCCTTGAATCTGCTGTTGAGAAGGTTTGGGCTCCAGCTTCATTGAATCTATACAAAGGCTCTGCTAAATGTTGTACAGATGACCACAGTGGCCACAGGAAGTCTTGGAAGAAGAGGCAGTCTCTGAGATAATATGGGCAGATTCCATTTAGGGCTTTGTAAATCAGAAACCTGAATGGGGAGGCAGCGTAATTTGTGAAGCATAATATGTTGTCTTTGACTCATCCTTCATAGGAGCCAAGCTGCCATATTCAGTAATAGTCATAATCATGGGCAGCAGGTATTGCAGGCCAGGGGAAGTTGAGTCTCCCCAAACAGCCAGGGGTGGCCCCGCCCAAGCTCTGTCTCAAAGCTCCCGCCTGCTTCCTACTCTGGCCCCGTGGTCTGGGTGGTTCACGTGCCATCCACGGCCATAGTTTCTTCTTGAACTTCTTACCTAGGGCCAGTTACAGAGCATTACATCAGTCTGAAGGTGATGAATTCATAAAGCATTGTAGCTTGACTATTTTCTGAGAGAAATATATACAGCATTCTTACTAGCCTAAAGTGGAGAATTATGCTTTTGGTAGCAAATGCTATTTGATTGGTCTGGGTTGGTAATGAGCCCAGGGCTCCATGCTTTTTCTGTTTCTGTCTAACCTGTTTTTCAATGGAAAATTGGGTTCCCAATTTTGTCAAAAAAACAAACACCCGAAAATCAAAAAGTCTGAAAAGAAAAATCAAACCCCAAAATATTTTATTCTGGAAATGCCATTGTGGTCCCTCATGGGAGTTCTCTATAGGCCAGGCTCCCCAGCTAGCCTTTAGCTCACATGATGCACTGCATCTACTCACCAAGAGGGGGACCATGGTCCATCATGGGAGATGTAGTTTGATTAGAGAGCCCAGCCTCTAGAGGAGAATGTGGACATGAGGCACCACAGTGGCATTTCTGAATCAAAATATTTTCACTTGCAGTCAAAATATGGATTTTGATTTTTTTTGTCAAAAAGTTAAAATTTTCTGCAGGAAATTCCTCCTCCCCCCTCATTTTCTGACTATGTCTAACAACCTCACTGTTGCTTGGGAACAATATAAATCAGAAGCTACTCTTTTCACTGGGATATCTGTCATACAGAACTGTCTGTGCTGAATGAAAAAAGATATATAGAGCTGTGTGACAGCTTTTCATTAGTACAGTTCCACAGTATAATTATATTTGAAATCAGCAATTTTTTCCAAGCATTTTATTCACTGGTGGAGGCGGCGGGGAAGAGGAGCGGTCAGAAAGTCAAATACTATGGCTGGGTAATGTACTGATCATTAATAAGCTAACATTTATAGTCATGCAAGATAAGAATAGTCCAATCTTATGCTCCAGGCCATAAAGTTGACTGCCACAAGGTCAGAAATGAAATTCCTCTCTCCTCATTTCACATTCAGGTACATCTGAGATACTTATGCTAACAGAGGCAGGATATCAGACTAGACGGTACAATGTTTTGATCCTGTTGAGCAAATCCTTATGTTTCTAATGGCAGTTTGTTACTTGGTTAACGTAGCACATTATTTTATTTCATATGAAGTCTATGCTATTATGACAAAATAGGAATAAAGTAGTTTGAATTAATACAACGCATTGTATAAGGCTATGTCTACACTTAAAATGTGTAGGTGCTGCACTTCAGTGTAATCCACCTCCCTGAGAAGCAGTCGCTAGGCAGACAGAAGAATTCTAGTACTGTCTACATTGGTGGTTAAGTTGGCTTAACTACATCTCTCAGGGATGTGGATTTTTCACACCCCGGAGAGCCACAGCTGTAGACTAGCCCTCAGTGTACCAGCTAGACAACCAGGCAAAGTGCGGCAAAGCTTCAACTTTCATGGTCTTCCATGCAAGTCAGCAGCCAACTCCATCTAAGGAAGAGGCCAGCGTCTTGCACCATGGGAGGGGAAGCTAGTGAAAACAGAGTACTCACTGACTTGCAGGAGCAGGCCCTTTGGCTATGAGATGCTACTTGTTTTATTTCTCTGACGAACTAACGCATATACAAGAAACAAAAACAAAATCATAATAAAACAAATAGTTTTGAAGGCTTCTCTTCAAAAATCCTAAAATTCAGCTTGATTTTAGATACTGAAAACATCTCATTTTAACAAAAAAAATTGAGCTATTTGTCTCATATATGCAGCATTAGAAATGAATATGAACACATGGCCAATTTTACAGCAGCCTCAAGCTGATATTCAACTTTGAATGTGCAATTACAAGTCCAAATGCTACTGTAACCACCCATTTGGCAGATGCAATCAGGTAGTTAGACAATAGCCCCTGATTCTGCAAACATTTACCCACCAATTGAGGAAAACATCCCAATTAAGGAAACGTTGACTGCACTAGGACTTAAACATGTGATTAAAGTTAAACATGTGTCTCAATGCTTTCCTGAGTCAGGGCTATAAGCACTGACCTTCTAAGTTAATCGCAAGACTCCCATTGGTTTCACTGGGCATTGGATAGGCCCCAAGTACTTCCTGCTTATAAATGTTGGCAGGATTGGAATCTTAATGCTAACATCTGTGTTGAAGTTAACTATGCCCTCAAAATTATGCCAGAAAAACTGGAGGGCATTTTAAAAAATCAGGTTAACTCATAGCTGTTGAATAATTCAGAAGACTGAGGTCATTAAATAATTCTTCTCAGACTTTGTGGTTAGGTCATCCATAAATGAGCATATCTTATTGAATGTGTTATGTCAAAGCCACAGTATAAAATATATAGATATAAGTATACATTATATACTAGTATATACTTACTAGTATATATGTATTATTTACTTCAGTGAAAACATTATCTGTTGTATGTCTATCTGAAAGAAACAAAATTGCAAATGCAAATGACAAAAATGTGAAAAAAAAGAATGATGGCGGATCACACTATGTCAGTGAAATCATGCAAAGAGGAAATACATAATTCCCCAAAAGAAGGAAGAAGAAAAAAAAAGAAAAAGCAAACACGTAAAAGGCACTAAAAATACTTACAAAAAGCAAATACAAACAATTCTAAAATATTTCTTACCTTCTTCAGTCATTGTGTCATAATATTTTAGTTTTCCATATGATCCAAGCTCTACAACATTACAGTAAAAGACACAAAGATAAGGAACCAGCAGACATTCAAGAAATCTACACATTTGCACATGTGCTTAATAAAGTTCAGAGTGATTATGTAAAATTTCTGCAGAATTATAGGCATACATGGATTGTTGAAATGCTGAACAGTGATTTTTTTCACTGCAAATTTCAGAAGTCACTTGCTACAGTTAAGTGACTTGGCTGGATGGGATTTGGGGACAAACACTATAGTTAAGGACTACGACTATATCTACACTAGAGACCTTACAGAAGCACAGCTGTACTGCTGCATCTGTGCTGCTGGAAGGTCTCCTATGTAGCTTCTCTGTGCTGGCAGGAGAGAGCTCTCCCGCCTGCATAATTAAACCACCCCCAACGAGCGGTGTTAGCTATGTCGGCAGGAGAGCATCTCCTGCTGACATAGCGCTGTCCACACCGGTACTTTTGTCAGTGAAATTTATATTGGTCACCGGTATGTTTTTTCACACCCTCGACTGACAAAAGTTTTACTGACAAAAGTACTAGTGTAGACATAGCCTAACTTTTAGAGAGATGAGTGATTTGTGGTACCTTAATTTATTTTAGATACCTTACAGAGTGCTGAGAACCTGCCCTTTGCAAATCAAGTTCTTTTAATGTGTTTCAAGTTGGGCACCCAAAAATTGAGGCACCTCAAATGACAGTCACTTTTTGAAAATGTATGCCCTAATGCATGGGACTGGGTCTCTAGGTTTGGAATTTAAAACAAAGGTTCTAATGGTGGTTCTGATGCTGACTTGCTGTCTGAACGTGGATACATAACTTAGACTTAGTTTTATCATCTGTAAAGCTACATAGTTTATATTTACCTACTCCATGGGATTATGTGACATCTACTTAGAAATGTTTGTAAAGAGCTATACGTGTACATAGTATTTATTAAGGCCAGTCAGTGGCAGAAGGAGGAATAGAATTTCGGAGGACCCTCCTGACACTCAAGCCTGTGCTTATTCCTCTAGAGAATTTGGCTTTTGTGAGGCATCACCTCCTCTTCATCCAGAAGTTTTTTCAAAGTTCATTTTTTTCTGTGAAGCTGTTTCTTTCCAGTTTTGAATGATTCATTATGAATAATTTCCAATCTTCCAAAATGTTATGTAAAATGATATTTGAGGGATTCAAAATCATGCAAAATGTATTGGAGAAAATTTTTGCACAAATGTGACATTTTTCATCAATTTCACTCAGTTCTACCTTTAATGTAAAACTTTAATAATTGCACTTCTGAGTATTCAACACTTAGCAGCAATAGAAATCTTAAAATTTATAGATATCTAACAAGCTGATGATGGAATTTTCAGATCAATTATTCTTTCCTCATATTCATGAAAGCACTTAAGAAATTAATTATAAAAATGCTAGCCCATTATTTTGTTCTTAGCCCATTGTTTGGAGCTGATGTACTGCATGTTCTATTCAAAGAGTTGTTTTCAGTTGGGTAAATTTCAATAGGTATCTTGATCTTAGTTTTCATTCTAAGGTATTGTGATGATATGCAAATCTGGTATTTAAAAAGATCCTTTGTTTCTACTAACAATTTCAAACACTTGATTCTGTTAGATGAGCATTTCTGAGGCCACTTATGTGATACAAGGAAAACTGGCATAAAAATAAAGTCTACAGTCTTTTCTTCATCATTATGATTTTTAAAGTGCTATATACTTTACACTATTCACTGTAAAAGATTGTGTTACACAAATAATCAACATATTAACAAAAATCGATCATATGTAATGATATGTATTCATATTTGTACACTCTCTTTTCTTTTCTCCATGAGTATGTAAATGTGCATACACACACACACACACACATATACATGTATATAAATGTTATCATTAGTCTCATTTAGAGCAAAGAGAAGTCTACTGAAGAAAAGATTTTATATAGTTTTGTAAAAATCTTTCTATAACAAAGGAAGTTCTAGTCTGTACATGCTGGTTTTAATCCTAAAAAAATAAATATATATGATGATGATTTAGCACCTGAATTCCTTACCCAGGCAAAACTCCCACTGACTTCAGTGTGGCTTTTCTCTGAGTAGGGAGCTCAGGACTGGATACATTGTTTAGTTAGAACTCCGGTTATCTTAACTATAGCATTCAAATTAACTTTAAACAGTTCTTCCTCTTTTAAACTTGCTCTCCCTGATGTCTGTCCCAGTTCCCCTGGGATCAGATGCACTGGACTTGGGAGAGAAACCAGTGGAGGTTCTTGACCGAGAGAGGAGTGAAAGGAGGCCCTAAAGGAAAGAGGAGCAGTGAAATGGGACCAGGAAGTAGATGCATGGGAACAAGACTGCTGATAAAGGGATGGATATAGTAATCAGGAAAGAAGGGGCCAGTAGGAGGGGGCAAATGGAGTAGGGGATAGGAAGGGAATACAGCACTGTGGGAAAGAATTCTTCTACCCAAGAGATGTTGGGGAACTGACAAAACAATAGTGCGGAAAGGCACTAGTGTAAGGCAGGGGACCTGCTGGGAATGGGATGAGACACAGAGGAGATTTCCAACAAAGGAAGGGTGAAGAACATAGACTCAAATATCCAGGCAGAACTAAGCAAAATCACAGTAGAAGGCATGAGATGCAATACAAAGGAAAGAAGACGTACGCACAATAAGAATGCATGATGCCAGCACTGGTTGTGTTCCTGGAGTTTAGATATAGCAGGTGTGCTGCCAAGACCAGTAATTTCAGACTAAAAGGATTTAAAATAGTGTAATTCCCACATTGTTAGAAAAACTACTGCCTGTGAAATTCAGACCTTGCAGGTGAGAATACATTCCCCAAAGCTTTTATAGTCCCGCTCATGCTTCGCAAGAGGGTAGTGAGCGCACTGCACACTGACCGTGCTATTTTGCAGTCCACTGTACTTACTGATGTGAGTTATCCCATTGACTTGAATAAGACTACTTTGGTGAGTATGTGCTAGTCAAAGCCAAAGTTCCCACCTCACCCCCTTCCCCCCTATTTAACCCCCTTCCCCCAAGTCCCCATTCCTGCCCTGCCTCTTCTCTGCCTCCTCCCCCAAGCGCACCGCATCCCTGCTCTGCCCCCTCCCACCCAGAAAGTCCTAAGCACCGCCAAACAGCTGTTAGGCAGCAGGGGGAGGGATAGCTCAGTGGTTTGAGCATTGGCCTGTTAATCCCAGAGTTGTGAGCTCAATCCTTGAGGGGGCCACTTAGGGATTTGGGGTAAAATCAGTACTTGGTCCTGCTAGTGAAGGCAGGGGGCTGGACTCAATGACCTTTCAAGGTCCCTTCCAGTTCTTGGAGATAGGATATCTCCATTAATTTAATTTAAAGCGCTGGGAGAGAGGGGGAGGAGCAGCACGCTCGGGGTGGAAGGAGGAGGCGGCGAGGAGGGGGGAGTTTGGCTGCCAGTAGGTGTGGAGCACCCGCTAATTTTTCCACATGGGTGCTCCAGCCCCGGAGCACCCACAGAGTCGGCGCCGATGGCAGGCAGTGCTCCACCCCTACTCCCAACCCACCCACCATAGTGATGGAAAACCATTATGCTGCCCTGGCAACGAGTGATGAGGAATCACCCCGAAAGGTGGAGGAGGAGAAACCATGTACCTCCAAGCCTGGGAGGATCACAGACACCATTTCCACCTATCAAGGAAGGGGAAGAGCATATTTGGATACAGACTGGCTAACCTTGTGAAGAGGGCTTTAAATTAGGTTTGAAGGGGGCAGGTGACCAAAGCCCACAGGTAAGTCGAAAACATGGAGACCTGAGAAAAGGGTCGGAATTTGGGAGGAGTATGGGCTGTTGTAGCAGGGATAAGGGCGAGAAAAGACAGAACTGGGGGTGGGGGGGAGGGATCAAATCAGTATCTTAGATGTCTATATACTAATGCGAGAAGTATGGGGAGTAAGTAGGAAGAACTCAAAATGCTAGTAGATAAACACAACTATGACATAGTTGGCATCACAGAGACTTGGTAGGATAATCTGCATGACTGGAATATTGGTATAGAAGGGTACAGCTTGCTAAGGAAGGACAGCCAGGGAAAAAAGGGAGGAGGTGTTGCCTTATATATTAAAAATGTATATACTTGGACTGAGGTTGAGATGGAAATATTAGATGCAAATAGGAGACAGACTTGTTGAAAGTCTCTGGGTAAGGATAAAAGGGGTAAAAACAAGGGTGATGTCATGCTAGGGGTCTACTATAGACCACCTAACCAGGAAGAAGAGGTGGATGAGGCTTTTTTTAAGTAACTAACAAAATCATCTAAACCACAGGACTTGGTGGTAATGGGGGACATCAACTACCCAGACATATGTTGAGAAAACAACACAGCTGGCACAGATTATCCAACAAATTCTTGGAATGTATTTGAGACAATTTTTTTATTTCAGAAGGTGGAGAAAGCTACTGGGGAGAGGCTGTTCTAGATTTGATTTTGACAAATAGGAAGGAACTGGTTGAGATTTTGAAAGTAGAAGACAGCTTGGGTAAAAGTGATCATGAAATGATTGAGTTCATGATTTTAAGGAATGGTAGGAGGGAGAACAGCAAAATAAAGACTATGGATTTCAAGAAGGCAGACTTCAGCAAACTCAGGGAGTTGGTAGCTAAGATCTCATGGGAAGCAAGTCTATATATTTCATTGTAGCATTGTATCTAAGACAGAAAGAACCATATAATTACTCAGTCAATAGTACAGTAATAATTTTGAATAACATAACTGATTGTTCACTTGTTCAATGCCATATTCCATGTAAAATGCACCCAGGCTCTGTGTTGAAAGATTGAGTTTTGGATGCTCTGGTACTTTGCATAAGCTTTTTTGGAATGAAAGGCTTGAGCCCAGAATTTGAGGGCCACATTTATCACTGTTAGAATAGTGAAAGCCTCACTGACATTGTACCCACTTATGCCAGCGGTGAGTTTGGCCCAAAGTATCCCATAATGCTACATAAAATAAACTGTTATTTTAAAAAGTCAA